TAGCTGACATGATCAAATTGCTCACTTATAAATCACATCTCTATTCATCAAACTTGATCTTCCTATGTTACATAAATACACTTGCATTGATTAATATTCTCTACTTAATTTTGTTATCTAAAGTAGCAAAGATAGCCAACCCTGAACCTGCAGGATATAAATAATTTGGTTTAGGTAATAGGGACAATGATGATATTTTTCAAGGGTTCACTCATGTAAAGAAGAGCAATTCCTTGACCACCTCATATAAAGAAGCCGCCTTCTCATTACCGTTACGTTTATTACCCCCCTTTTTAATTTCTATCACCCTATTTTTTAAAATTTCTATATACTTACAATCTAAACCTTGTTTTAATATCCTCCCCCTTTTCGTTTCTCTCCCTCCAACAGGTTCCAAGAGGACTTTGTTTTGTTCTCTGCTCTATCCACAGGACCTGGAATAGGCTCTGGCACATTGTGGTTGCTCAATTTATTATATTAAAAAAAATGAGTGGAATCCTTAACTATTTAGAAAGCCACAAGCAATTCTGCATTCTCATTAGTGACTTCAAACTCCTTTCTTACCATACTCAGGAAACAGACTCCTTATTTCATTTTCCTTAAGTTATTGAAAACCAAAGAATGAAGTCGGTTTTACTCTCTTTACTGATAAATCTAGTTACTCTAGTTACACTTTTCTTTGTCAAGCATTCCCTTCAGCACAATTACACATTTAAACTGGTGGTTACCCAGATAACTAAACAACACAAGATTAGGAGGGCAAGCACATCTGTATCAAAAGTATGAGGCTAACATGACTAATAGTTGTTGGCTTATCCTAATACTTAGGGAAAAGGTAAATTTTAACATTTATCTAACCTGTGCCTAAACCTGAAATGAACAGCATTAAAGCCTTACTGTCGGCATTATTAAGCTCTTCCATGAAAGCCAAAGAAGGGGACCTACTAAGGGTCACAAACTGGAGCAGGCCTCTGTATCTTTTTGGGGAGTAATCTGCATTTCAACAAATCACAGGAATCTATGTGGGAGGCCTGTTTAGTACTCGGCTGAGCCTGTTACCTTCTTTTATTTTCCTGGCCATCAGTCAATATTTGTTCTTCTTCCTCCACTGTTCTTTTCTTCCTCTCTTTGAGGGCACTCAGTACAGTCTCCTTTGCACATGGGTCTGGAGCATTACTTGATGGTGAGGACAGTGTTGAGCTGAGTAACTGCTCTGTTCTGCAATGAAAGACAAGATTCTAGCCTTAAGATATTTTAATTACCACATCATATAGCAGTCTTCACTGAAAATCAGAAGCTAGCCAACAAGCAGCAGTGTAATTTACACATTCACAGAAAATGCTCTTAGCAATTAAAGCTACAATGTTAGGCAAAAAAAACAAGAAAATAAGCGATAGTTCAACGACTCAAATTTGAGATTTCTCATTTAAACAGACAGGTACTTTTTTTTTTGCTTTATAGTTGTCTTGTCAGAGAAACAACCATGGAAGAATAAAGTGGACACAAAAAGGAGTCTATTTTTCCAACAATAATACTTACATTGGAGAACGAGTCAATTTGCTATCAGGAGGAGCAATCCTCACCGTCACTGGACTGCACACCATCTTGGAATTATGAGGAGATAGCACAGTCTTCTTGTGATAACCATTCCAGGACACTGTGGGAAGTACCCCCAGAAAGGAATATTGGGCCTGTTGAATTGGATATTGTCTTCGAGGTGTTATTAAAAACCGATTTGATAAAGTTCCACAATCCCTGTGGAGAACAGGAGACAGATTATGGAACCAAAATGCTTAAAAGAATGTCAGAAAATTAACTGACTAAAGAACTATGTGGGTTCAGATATTTTCCAGAAAGCTTAAACCTCTAAGCAATACAGAACACAGAATTTTTATGGTAACTTCCCACATCATTCCATCTAAAGGCAGAAAGTGGCAGCTGCTTAAAAGCAATCCCTACTATGGACTTCAACAATTTGAGAGAGAAATTGAAAACCTTGCCCACACAAGCAAAACTACAATGGAAATGTGTATTAGGACACACAGGGAGAAACTTTTCAAAAATCCTTCAATCTTTTCAGTAAGTCATCAGTAATGTACCCAGAGTCAAATATTTTTCAAGACCTAAATGTTCATCTTCTCAACTCAATTTACTTATAACAAGAACCTTATGTCTGGCTGGTATGACTCAGTGGTTGAGAGTTAACCCAGGAACCAAGAGGTCACCAGTTTGATTCCTGGTCAGGGCACATGACCAGGTTGCAGGCTCCTTCCCTGGTTAGGGGGCATGCAGGAGGCAGCCCATTGATCACTGATATTTTTATTTCTCTACTAGAGGCCCGGTGCATGAAATTTGTGCATGGGTTGGGTCCCTAGGCCTGGCTGGTGATCAGGGCCGGCCGGCGCCTCCCTTCGTTCTGTGCTGCCCTGCTGATGGTCAGTGCATGTCATAGCCAGTGATCGAACTCCTGGTCTCCTGGTCCAACTCCCAAGAGGTCACTTTGCATATTAGCCTTTTATATATATAGAAGATAGATCCCTCTCCCTTCCTCTCTCTAAAAAAATCAAAAACATTTTTTAAAAAAGAACCTTATATTTTCATCAAATATTTTGTATTCTCTGCTACTGAGATTAAATGAAAGTGTCGTTAATTTGATCATCTTTATCAAATTTTATCAATGGAAGAAGTGTTTCCTGGGAATACCTCTTTGAGCTCAGCTAAACTTATAAAATTTCTCTATGGGTCCAAAATATATATACTACATTTATAATACATATACATATATGTAATACACATAACATATATAATATATATACACACACATATATATTACTATATGACTACACTCGAAAGATAAAGGTATTTTCCCCCGAAGTAGGGATATTTTAATGTTAACAAGTATTCTGCTAAATCTATACTGTACTAAAATCCAGACAGTCTTAGGAATTGGAAGGGAGGGATCAGCTGTGGCATCACATCTCTCATTCCAAAGGTTAAACGGGGGCGGGGGGCGGGGGTAATGGGAGACAGGGGACGGCTGGCATGCACCAAGATGTTGCAAAGAGGTCAAACGACACAGAATCTACCTTGGACTTGAAAGAAAACCGGATCGAAAGTCAAGTCCTCAATGCAAAGCCAGTCGACAGAGAGGAGGGTCTGGGAAAGATGCGCGTGTCTTACCTGTGGGAAGGCCGCCTGGAGGGTCCGAAAAGAGGAGCGGGGTGGGAGGGGTGAATGTGATGCCCGCGCTGAGCCGCGGGACCCGGCGGCGAGGTGCGGGGGGGAGGGC